TATTGCGTCGGTCACGACTCCTTTGTTCTGGTGGCCATTTTCTTTGTGGATTACTTTCCTGCTTGGCCACCAGCAGCGCTGTGGTTTCTTTACCTGTGCCGGGGTGTGGGAGCTTGTGTTTTGGGTGAGTTTTTTCACATCTTTCAAGGGTTTTATCCTCCTGTTGCCGTTTCTTTGCTTTTCTGGAGTCTAATGCCAGTCTTCTGTTCCTCTGGGAACGCTTGAGTGTTGGTTTTTACACCGGTTTTTCCGTTTTCTGTCTGTTGAAGATTCACTACCTAGAACAAAAAGTTCCAAGTAACACGGGCTATGGTGAGCTCGTAGTTGTCTGTCTGTTTTGGATCTGGGCCCTAGGGTTTGGGCTCTGTCCCCCCTGTTTATGCTGGCTCCCATACCTTGGCTCTCGGTTTTTGGTCTGTTTTGGCCGTTTCCCTGGGGGTTCTGTCCGGGTGCTATGCTTTGCCCTTCTGTGGTGTATTTCCACTGGCAAATGTGGTAGTTTGGGCTCCCCCGGGTTTGATTCCTGGTTCCTTTGGTTTCGTTCCAGAGGTTTCTTCCTCTTAGGTCCCCTTTGTGGATTCAGGGGGTTTTACCTCGTGTGAGACCCGGTTCTGCCTTCTTGGGTTCCGGGGTCTACCTGGCTTGCAGGTTGATCTTTTTGGGTCGTGGCACGTGTTGTGGTCGTGCCGGGGCCTTGGGTTTTTGTTGTCGAGGTGGGCCTTTTAGTGCTGTTTTTGTGCTCTTTGTGCTTTCTTCGTCTGGCCGGCGTGGTGCTCTCTGCCTACAGGTCGGTGGCTTGTCTTTTTTCTTTATTTTAAATTTTTATTTTTTTATTTTCATATGTGTGTTTTTATACATTTGGTGTATATATGTATTTGCATGTGTGTGTGTATATATGTATGTGTGTGTGGGTGGGTGGGTGTGTTTATATCTCTTCTTTCGGAAGGGGCTCCTTTCCCTTCACTGTTGACGGGGTGCTTGGGGGGGGGTAGCTTGCTCTGTTGGCTCTTGCTTGGTCCCACAGTTAGTGGGCGCATTTTGGTTCTCTTTCGGCCTCTGGCGTCTGACGGTTTCTCCCCCTTTGGAGGGTTCAGGGCTGGCGGGGTGAACTTCTGCCCATGCGCTTAATGTCGTCTTGGTTGGTGTGTTTGGACGTGGTCGATCCGCCCCATCCTTCCGGGATTCCAGTCTGTTCTAATGCAAACACGGGCCTTTGCGGATCTGCGGTTCTTTTGGATTTGTTCAGTTTGCACCCTGGATTCTTTGCCCTCTTTGAAAGACTTGTCTCCGGTCCAGCTTTTGTTGGGGCCGGGTGCCTAAATGGTGTCTCTGCATCTCCGGGTCACTTCTTGGTACGTTCCTCTCTAGGGTTCCAGGACTCTTACAGTTGGTGGCGGGGCTTTGTGCTTGCCGCTTTTGTTGCCTTCCCTAGTTTGTAATTGGCACTTTGTATATTTACGCATCTTTATCGGATCTTGGTGACCTGTATGCGTCTGCTTGGGATTTGGTTTCTGGCCTATCTCGACGACAGGCTGATGTGGGCTGCCAGTCGGTCCTCTTGTCTGCTTGCCAGGGGTGTGGTTCTTTCCAGATCGCCGCGTTCGGGTTCCTGGTGAACTGGAGGACGTTCCATCTGGTTCCGTCCCAGGTTCAGTCTTGGTTGGGTCTTGTTTTGGACTCTTGGAACACTTCTTTGTCTCTTCCTCCAGAAGTGTTGCTGCGGCTGCGATCTCGCCTTCGGCTGTGTCTGAGGGGGGTCCCGGGTCACTCGGGAGTTGCTCGAGCGGTTGTGCAGGGGTCTGTACTTCGCTGTGCTGGTCTACTCGCTGGGTCGGGTTTGGCTTCGGCGTATGTTTTGGTTCCTTCGGGGACGCTCCTTCTGCCTCTCACAATCGTTAGGTTCGTCCTCCAGGGACCTTGTGTTGGTGATGTGTCGCCGACTTCCTCTTTGGGGTTTTCGGGGTTCCGATCCTTCGCTCGATTTGTTCACAAACGGATAGTCTGTTGGCTGGGGCTTTGACAAGTGCTCACCAGGCCGGCTGGGGACAGTGGGGTCCGTCCTTCTGTCGGGCTCACAGCACAGTTCAGGAGTTTGCGGCTGTCTGGTTTGCACTTCGGAGGGTTCAGGTCACTCGGGGGGGTCTCCCATCTGACTTCATTCGGACTGTTCTTCGGTGGTTCATTGATGGAACTGCAGGGGTTCTCTTCAGTCCTTACCTCCTGGAGATGTTCCCTTCGAGTGGTTTGTCTGCTGGATCCTCAGGGTTTGGCTCTCCGTGCAGTTCATGTCCCGGGAGTATCCAACGTACTGGCGGACAGCCTGTCTCGGTTCATGGTTTGGCCGGTCGTCGCCAACTCGTTCATTGGCTCTGCCCTACGTACGGACTCCCGGACGTGGACATCTTCGCGTCAGCGTAGTCTCGGCGTCTCCCATTCAATATGGCGCCTTTTCCCACCTGCAAGGCGTTCGCAGTGAATGCCTTTCGGCAGGGCTGTTCGAGGTGGAGTTACCTGTACCTCTTCTCCTTGACCAGCTGTTGCTTTTGGTTCTGGCTCGTTTGGACTCCTTCCCAAGGTGAGTAGTCCTCGTCGAATCTTGGTGGCCGGCCCAGCTTTGTTTTCAGACACTGCTTGATCAGTGTCCGAACTCGGGGCGTTTCTCGCGGCTCCACCTCTTTCGGCAGGTCGGACCGGTCTGGTACATGGCTGGTTCGGCCTTCTCCTCGGCTCTTTGCATCTGGTCTTCTGACGTGGGTGTATCATCTCTATGGTGATCAGGTGGCTTTGTTGAGATTATCCCACCTGCGAGCTTCGTCTCGCGACAGTATGTAGTTTCCCGGTGTTTCTTTTCGCCCTTTTTCTTGCTTTCGCATCGGCTTGTCCTTCCTTGGTTTTTCAGGACTGTTAATTGATGCTTTTTACTGTCGCCTCGTATTGTGCGTCGCTGGCGGAGCCACTCCGGGAAGCGTTTGGGGTGAACTTTACATCCGCCCTATTCCATACGCCTTCTCGTGCTTTGTTTCACATCCAGCCCTCTGATGCGTCGCCTGAGCCATCCTTGTTCAGGGTTTCAGGGATGGCTCAGCTGAGCCATCCTCGGTTTGTAGTAGCCCCTTCGGTTCAAGATTGTTTTTCACAGGCCATATTTTTGTTGGCATTGGCCTCTGCGGGTCTGGTCGGGGAGCTTCCGGCTTTCCTCCTGCACAGGGGTTTCTGCTCATTTGGTTCTGGTGGTAAGTTTATACGTTTACAGTCAACCAAACCATGAAGTGGTAGCCGAAGCTATTTGAACCACTTCCCCGCTGGCACTCGGAAGTGGTTCAAATAGCTTCGGCTATCACTTCATTATGTCCGATCGTGATGGTCAAGCGAATTAAGGCATCCTGTACATACCAATTGTGTTGCTCCTGGCAGTATGGGTTTGAGTCACTTCTGGGGTGTGAGTTTTCAGTTGCATATAGTCCTGGGCACCATTCAGGCTTGTTCGCATTTGTGTTCCTCACGTGTGCCCCAAAGAATGAGGTGATTTGATAAAACGCTATGCCCAAGATTACCATCCAAGTGCCGGCGGGGAAGTGGTTCAAATAGCTTCGGCTATCACTTCCTTATGTCCGGTCGTGATGGTCAAGCGGATTAAGGCGTCCTGTACATACCAGTTGGTTGCTCCTGGCAGTATGGGTTCGAGTCACTTCTGGGGTGAGAGTTTTCAGTTATAGAGATAAAGAGATAGATATATATATTATAAATACATTGTCCATGTTTAATATGTTACTTTCATCAATGTCCCAAAAAATAATTTTTATTTTTTTTTAAGATTTTAGTTGTTTTTCTCCTTTGTTTATTATCAGATTTTTGTTGTAACCTTTACATCCGGAAAAGTGCATATATTTCCCTGACTATGTGAAGATAGAATGAAATTGGTCCTCAAATATATCTGTTACAGCTCGCAAAACATGGGAGCTTTTTTTTTTTTTTTTTTTTTTCCAAACTGTTTTGTCTCTAGGTTGTGTGGATGATTAGGAACCATATTAGGGCTTTTTCACTTATATAAAGTACCTGTATACCTTAAATATTTCCCCTAAAACATTATAATTATTATAATTATACCTTTTGGGGGGGGGGGTATTTTTTCTTGATTTCAAACACATTGACCTACAACTTTCACATACTCGAGTATGAATGCCAAACAATGTTTATTAAAACATACAATTAAATTAACGAATTAAAACTATTTTTATTCATTGTTGATAACTTCAATTATCTCTGAAACTGGAGTTTCAACTTTGAGTTTATACATTTGGAGTTATAATTTTTGGGGGGTCTAAATTTGCTGCATATTTCAAATGCCTTATTGACAATTTTTTTACAGTAAACTATACTGAAAACCTATATTCTAATTTGATGAAAATGAAGATCATATGCTATTCTGAGAGTAATAACATTAAATAAACAATTAGTGATAGTTCATATTTTTTAATCTGAATTGAAAATCTGAAGTTTTCAATATTCATTTTCAAAATTAATTTTGATTCTTGTTTTTCAAGTTACGTTGTGATCATTTACACAAAGTTGGAGCATTTGCCTAGTTGATTATGCAAAAACAAAAATTGGAAAGTGTTTGTGCGTTTTAAATATGTGAAGTTATATTATGTCAAATCATACAAATGTATTGCACAGTTTAAGGGTTAAGCTAACTAAAGAAAAATGCTGGAAAAAATATTAGAAAATTCACTTTGGCAACCAGTGGTATATGGTTGGATCAAGTTAAGTGAGAAGTTCATGGAGGCCAAAACTGTCGATAATTTGAAAGCGTTGACAGTGCTGGGAAGACAGGACACAACGAGCATAGCTCTCATCTTGTGACTACACTTGAATCATTACATACTCTCACTCACTCTACATTATTGCAACCCATATTTAATATCTTGGTTTTATGGTGGTGTATAAAAAAAAAAGTTTCAGGTGACGATAACATTATTGGTTATTTCAATTTTCCACAGGACAAATTAGTTAGTAACAATATAAGCAGCAGCGGAAGTAGCAGTAATAATAAGGAAGTAGTTCGTGTGTGGGTGAGGGATCAAGCACAGAGACTTAACCAGCAGTACTTCACCACTGAATTACAAGGAGCTTCACATCCTGCCCTTAGTGTATTAAATAGACTTATAGCAGCTATTCAGCAATTAGAGCAAGAGGTAAGGTAAACATTTTTAAGTTTGCATGATTGCATGGTTTTTTTTTTTTTGGCGGGGGTAACTATAATGCATTTGAACTATGCTCTTTGACTGTTAATTGTCACATTCCATGTCTGAAAATTGTGACAATTTGCATCAGTAGAGAACTTTCAGGATGATTTAATACTTCAATACGTAATAAAAATACTGCTCTAGAATTTAATTCTCCAGAAAATTAATTAGCTTTTGGTATCAAGTTATGTTTTTACCTTTTTATAAATTCTTTCCAAACCATAATTGCTTAAATTGAAGTTTGCAATACCACTACTAGTGGAAGTTAGCATGCAATTTGTGGTCTCATATTTCTCGCCGGCTGGTTGCATAAGGTTGTAGATATTATTTTTCTCGATAATTTAGTGAAGCTGATGTTTATATTCCAACTTTCAGCCAAATAGTGCTGTCCAGGCCTTAAGGGAAATTAGCAGGATTGTAACAGAAAGTGATATAAGTCCATTTGAAGTGATCCACTCTGGGTTGGTTCGTTGTCTATTGACCTACCTCACTGCCTCTGAAAATACGACTCTGTCCTTAACGCACGACGGAGCCTTATTGACAGCCATTGGTGGGGTTAGCAGTAGCTCTGAAAATGGAGGCCTTACAGCCATCTGCATAAGCACACCACGGGACACCAGACTCAGGAATTTCCTTCATGTCTTCCTTGGATGTACAGTAAGTGCAAATCTTTTGTCAAGCATTTTGTAAGATTTCGTTAATCTTTGACTTTAAACAATGTAAAGCAATAATGTAATATCAAGTATTTCATGCAGTATTTATTTTGACTTCAAAATATGCTTGGTTGAAAATGAACTTAGCTATTAGTCATATCAATGCCAAAATTGACCCATAAACCTGTATTAAATGGTACAGATATTCTAAATTAGTGACAATTATATAATGGCATAAATGTTCATAAGTGATCGAATACACACACCCTGCTGTATCAGGGGAGTTTTTTATTAAATTGGATTTGATCGTACTATTAGTGAACACCAAATTTATATTAAGTTTCTTAAAAATCAGAGACAATTTTTCAAGTCCACTCGCATAAGGAACCACCAATGAGTTAATAATTTATGGTTTCGCCTTAGGGACGTGATTATAAAACGTACGCTTGGCTTGTTCAAATGAGAAATCCAAAAACCTCTTAGGATATTGTAAACTCTTCCCAATTTCATATATTTTAGCAATCTCATAAAAAAACTCAGGGCTGCATACCCTCAAAGCTCGTAGAAACATTCCTGAAAATACTGCCTGTTTAACTTTACTATGATGATTCGAATAAAAATGAACATACGACCCCACGTTGGTAGGTTTCCTATACACATTAAATTTGAACATTCTAGTGACTCTATGAATCATAATGTCCAAAAACGGAAGAGTACCATTCTCCTCAGTCTCACAAGTGAATTTTATTGAAGGTACCAAAGAATTGAGTTCGTTAAGAAAAACTATCTGGTCTTTGTCGCACGGCCATAAGCACAAAATATCAACATACCTAAACCAAACTACATTAGCCGGGATAATACTGGATAAGATTTTTGTTTCGAAGAATTTCATATACAAATTGCTTAAAACTGGGGAAAGGGGATTGCCCATCGCCATACCAAATGTTTGAAAAATTTTCTATTAAAACTAAAATAATTGTCTTTTATACACAATTTGATAAGTTCCAATACTTTATTGGTCTGCAAGCTCAAATTATATTTAGGCAGTTCCTCACGTAGAAATTCTAACAGATCATCAACAGGAACTTAAGTGAATAACGAGGTAATTTCTCTGTGGATTTTCCGCATATATATATATATGTATGTATGTATGTATATATATATATGTATATATATGTATATATATGTATATATATAAAATATCAATGAGAAAATACCCAGCGCACAGGTTCAAATCCTCATCATGGCTCCTGTGTATTTCCTCAAATGTATATATAGGTTTTCCCTGTCAGTTCACCACAGTGCTGTTTTCCAAATGGTTTAATAATCGTCTCCCATCATAATTCATCCTTCTGGAAAGAAAGAAAGAAAGAAAGAGAGAATCGCTGATCTTTGTTTAACCCTGTTCACACAGTAGCACTTGGGGAACTGGGTCAAAGATGATTGGTATATATTGATCCAGGGTAAACTAGTAGGGTAAAGCCTAAGCTCAAGGGGAGCTGTGGGAAGGAAAATGTCTACTAGCAGGAGTTGGTAGTAGTCTGTCTGTACTAGCCTATGTAAAATTATACAATTTTACCCATACTACAAGAATATGCAGATATCGGTCAGCAATGTGTGTGCCCTTGTAATAGCTATACTGTATTGTTAATACTGGTTAAATGGAGGTTATAAAACCATAAGCCTTTTGTTATTCTTTGCCTTGAATTAAAACCCATGTGACAGTACAGTATATATTTGGTACAGTACAGTGAATAGACAAGCAATTGGTTTAATTTTCAAAGTGTGTAATTAGCATCTTTCAAGTTGAAGTATGTAAGATTGTGTATTTGGTTTGATTTTCCTTTTATGAATGTAATCCCTTTTTTTTTTTTCTCCCCCAAACAGTTGAATACACTAAGCTTAGGCACTGTGGACACGAGTCACATTGCATTATTCAGTGCACTGATAACGAAGCTCAATGGGTGTGTCAATCAGTTAGAGCAGTTTCCAGTGAAGGTCCACGACTTGCCAGGCACTGCTCTTTCAGGTTTGGGTAGAGGAGGGTCCACATCAGCCATAAAGTTCTTCAACACACACCAGCTCAAGGTATGGAAAAAGAGTATTGAATTACTTGGATGCAAATAGAGTAGTAGTGAACCATAATTTGTTGTGCCAGTTAGAATGGCTATTTGATATTTGTTAGACTACTGTTAAAGACAACAATTAGAAAATATGCAAGTCTTGTGAGGGTATTGAACCTACATCTCTAAACTTCTTGGGAATCATACCACTTCAATATTTTCACAGGTATATCACTTGTGATGTCATTGTGCATAATTTAAGAATATACTTTAGTCTTTTATGAAAAGATAAGCAAGCACAACTATAAATTGAATATGTAAGGTGATGTCCATTGAAAGGCAAATGAGATAGAGCAAAGGCTGGCTGCCTAGTAGTGTTGCCATGTTTGTAACTAGGGAAAAGGACCATCAATAGGAGTTTTAATAAATAAAAGTAAGAATAAAGGTGCCTGGAAAGTGCCTGTTGAGGGAGCCTCTATATTTATCGACGTAAACTCACTCTTATGTCTTGAGCTACGCTGGGCAATTTGAGGCCAGAAGAGAAATTTAGTTAGATATTTGTTAAGCAGTATAGGTTTCATTAGTTTGGTAAGGTCAACATTTTTTAAAGTGCCAAGCTTACCAGAAATACACAAACCCAGCAATCCACTTGACCAAACCAACCAATGCGTAGAAAACATTGATTTTTGTGAGCTACCACCTTTCATAGTACTTTGTATGTTAGGACCATAACATACAAAATGAGTGGTATTAGTTGAGACATTGGGTTGGATGAATTGCTATGGGAGGCGAGAGGAAATTGCATAAATCATTATCTATAAAAGAAAATTAAATTTGTCCTCAGTGCAACTTGCAACGTCACCCAGATTGCACAAGACTAAGACAGTGGCGTGGAGGACCAGTTAAGGTTGATCCATTGGCATTGGTGCAGGCCATTGAACGTTACCTTGTAATCAGAGGCTATGGTCGACTCAGGGATGAAGATGACGACAACTCTGATGATGATAATTCAGATGAAGACATAGATGATACTTTGGTAAGTGTACAGAATACCGATTTGATTAACTATTTAATATATTTATTGATAGAGCTA